TTAATTATCACATGTTATAAGAAACTTAAAAATAGGTTACATTCAGTAGAATTTTTTTTGTGAGATATTTAAAATGTATAGTCAAATCAGAAATTAATGTCTGATTTTGTATAGTATTATAATACACAAAATTTACATTAATTATATCTTTTTTTTTTATTTCTAAATATTTTTCTTATAATTTCATAATATAATGTATTGCAAAATTAAAAAAATAATGTTATATAGAATTGTGTTAACTTTAAAATAAAGGAAAATACTAGCATATATAAAGAATTTTAATTCTACGCAAATAGCAAGAAAAATATGTTTTAACTCTATCATAATAAGTAGATTTATTGACTGATACAAGAAGACAGGAAAAACTAAAAATTTACCTAGATCAGGATATTCACCTGCTCTCAATGATAATAAAAAAATGCACTCATAAATAAAGTTACACAAGATTAATGCGAACCTTTATATAAAGTTATTAATACATTAGGTTTAAATTGCATTCTTATAACTACTAAAAGAATATTATATAATATTGGAATTTATTTTTATATTATTGTAAAAAAAAACCTTTTATTTTAAAAAACTATGTATTAGTTTGTATTAATTGGTATGAAAAATATAAAGAAAATAAAGCTTATGATTAAGTATAAGTTATTTTCTCAAATGAATCAAATATTGAGATTAGTAAGCAGTCATGACAAATAAGAGTTTGAAAACATATAGGGGAAAGGTTTAATACTGAATGCTTGATACTTATCTTTAAAAATCAGTTATAATTTGAGGATATTTTACAGAAGAGGTAAATAGGCTATTAATTTTTTGTGATGAAAATAAAGAAGAAAATGAAAAATCAATTTAAATACTTACATTAGAATCCTAAATTTATATCTATATTCATTTTAGCATACAGTTCATGAGTTGTCAGCAAGGGCTGCAATTTTTTAACAGAATAATATATTCATTCATACTGTGAAAATAACCAAAAATTGGTTAAAGAAGAATAAAATTGTAGTTATTGATTAGCTAGCAAATTCTTCTGACTTAAATCCAATAGAAAACATCTGAAAATAGTAAAAGAATAATATCTAGAATTGTAAAGAACTTTATGTGAATTTAAAGTTATACTAAGTGAAGAATGGGAAAATTTGGATTGCTTTATTTTTGAAGAGGTTGTTGCTTCAATGTTATAAATAAATGCAATATTAGAGTCATAGGAGGACTTTCACATGATTGGCTGATCATGTTACATAAATTTTCTAATTAATATTGTAAATATTTATACATGTCACATGATATATATATATATATAATAATAAATTTTAATTATTACATTTAAACTATTATATTTAACATTGTATACTAAATCAAAAATATTAAAAATAAATAAAGAGTTTAATTTATTGATTTTTATATAGTTTAAATTTTATATAGTTTAAATTTTGTATAGTTTAAATTTTATATAGCTTAAATTTTGTATAATTTAAATTTCATAATTTAAATTTCATAGTTTAAATTTCAATTTTGTATAATTTATCATTATAGTTTAAATTTGTATAGTTTAATTTATTAATTTTGTATAAAAATGAAAACAAAATTATATAATATTTTTATTACTGTTGAAATTTTTGTAATGCTTCTTCTAATGCATTTACTACATATTTTACTGGTTCACTTTTATTATTATCATCATAGGGAATATCATTTTCTAATTCAATAACCTGTTTTTTTTGTTTTTTATTTAACCTTTGCAAAGATTTCAGTAAGAGTTAAACATTTTCATCAACACAATTGCGTAAAAATGAGAGACAATGCAAGCATTTAAATCTATTATTACTATAACAGATTCTATAATATGGGAGGAGATCAATAGAAAGGGGGAAATCCAAAATTTTTGTTAATTTTTATTATTAAGCCAAATTTGTGTACATGATCGAGATTAGCTAAGTGGTCTAATAATATAAATTTTGACCAAAATTTAAATTTCCTCCTTTTCTACTGACCGCCTTCCATATGTGTAATTATAAGCTCGAACTTCAATTGGATTATCTGTATTAATAAATGAAGAAATAAACAATTAGATTTATCGCAGTAATAAAATTGATATAGTTTGTGTATGATACTGAAACCCAAAGAAAGATGACATAATTGTACTTTCAGTATTTTCATTGCAGCTAAAATAATATCATTACTCTTTTTAAAGCCGGGTTTATCTGTAATAGAAATGATATTAATAATTTATAATGAAAAAAGCGTGTATAAATTTCTGAAAATATTGAAAATATTGCAATAGAAAACAAGTGCTTTTGTATGTTAAAACTGTTATATCCTATGTAGAATACATATATGCTACTTATGTAGACATATGTGTAAAATTTTCCTAAATCTACTGTCATCCAAACGCAATTGATTAATGAAGTGCCCATATTTAATGATCTGTTATTAAGGTTGCTGGACGAAATTAAGAGTTTAGACAGACGTTTAAATGGTAAAAGTAAAACTTGGTTAAATTATATTAAAACCTTATTAAAAAATTTGCAAAATTTAGAAAAAGGTAAAACTATATCAAAGCTTATAAAAATGGCAAAACTATATCAAACACTTAGTAAAAATTTAGCAAAACTAAAGGTTTTACCGTTTTGCCAAATCCAAAATGAGTTTAGACAAACAACCTTATCTGTTATGCTTTTATGTGTTTTTGTATAAAAGTATACAAAAAAACTGTAAAATATTTCTACAATTGAATCAGAAAACTTTGGAAGTTCAGTTTTAATAATTTCTAGAATCAGATGATTGTTTAACTTCTAATAGAAAATATCAGAAAGAAACATAAACAGTGCCTTAGTATAGTTTCTGTGATGGAATCTAAGAAATAATATCTAAACATGAAAGCAGGTTTCTAAGTAGGCATTTAACTTATCTGACTGGAAAAACACAACATAAATATCTAGTACAAGTAGAATCGTATTATTAAGAAGATCTTTAAATGCAAGATATTCAGCATTCTTGCATAAAGATCCAAATTTTATTTTGATAGTCATAGAAATCTCTTGCCAAGCACTGCAAGAAATCTCTAAAAGAAGGTTAATCCATTATGGCTTAGGCTTTTATGTAAATGATTTCTTTTCTCCAAAAATATATTTGTACATAGCTAAGAAAAAAGATTGATACTAAAGGAAAACCAATTCTCAGCTATTTAGTGAAATATACAGAGAATCTATAATAGAAAGAAAAGACAAAATGTTATTAGTGATATTTGATAAATCACAATAACATAAATAGTGTAAAATAGCTGTTCTGAGATAAATCTATCCAGGCCAATCAGTAACGATAGGGATGATATTTTCTTGCTGAATATATTGCTGCATAGCTGAAACATTTATAATGATATTAATGGCTCTAATATATGTATTTAAAGAATGAAGGTCATTTTTCTATAAATCTATAAGAATGACATCCTTCATTGAATGAGTATTTTAATATTTCAAGCGAAACTAGTTTTGCCTAATTCGATCTACAAAGTATTTTCAATTTAAGGTTTCATATAATTTCGATTATATAAGGCAAAACTCAAAGTTCACAAGCGAAAAGTTTCAGATTTGATAAAATGTTTTCGCCTGAAATACTAGAGCATTTTATTTTTTCTTTAATCTAATATTGTAACTATATACAATTAGCTATTCCAACCTTGTATCATCATCAACATATGAAATTCCCAACACATGTTATATAAAAGATCATAAAGATTCATAAACTTATTTTTTTTATTGGTTTAATCAAGTCAGCATCAACCAATACAGGATTATATATATTTATCTTTGAAATTGCATGCTGTATCATAATTGGATTCGACAGAATTGTTACCAAATGTATAGCAGTTGATGTGGTAGTTGTATTTGGTATTCATTTTATATGAATGCTATAATGTTTAGTACTATTGACAATTTCGGCATGTTCTTCAGATATTGTTGTCTTATACCACAAAACTGTGTGAGATGTTATAGTTATACTCAAATTAGCTAGGATATCTGTAGAAGCATCAGAAGCACTTATGAAATCTAGATACATTGCTAAGTCCTTTTAGCGTCTTTAATGAACTTGTTCTGAATTCTGCAGAGAAAATAGTATACAAATAGGAGTTGTTTTTTTGCTTGTGCTTGAGAATCTCTATTTTTTGAAAAAGAATTAGATAATAAATATAATTCATCAAAAAAGAATTTTAAATTTGCATTCTTTTCTTCTATAACTTTGCGAAACTCATTATATGAATATACAGTTGGTTTTTTTTCTTATTTTCACGATTATATAAGATATTAGTCATTATTTTTACTGCTTTGAAGAATGATAAAATAGAAGGTGAGGGTGACGAAGGTGAAGGTAGAAGTAGGAATGGAGACAGAAGTGAAAGTGGAGGTAAAGGTAGGAACGGAAGCAGAGGTGGAATTGAAGTTTCCAGAGCATATTGTTGAAATGCAAATAAAGCATTTATTACAATTCTATTGTAATAGTTTAAGCAGATTATATTCCGTATTTGTGTATAACTTGACAAAGTTTTGTTAGTTTGACCTTTGGCAATAACATACTCAGTTATCTTTTTCCATTTTACTAACTCCTGACTTTGGCTACACACGATCTGATATTCATATTTGCCTTCTAAGTAAAGTACCTCTAAAATTGGAATTATTTTGCACTGCGAATGTTACACACTTTCGAAGCTGAATATGTGAAATGTTACAATCTCAAAAAGTATTATAATCAATTGAATATAATCGTCCAATCACGTAAAAGTCCTCATATGAGTACTGGAGGGTCAACACATTTTTGATAATTTTTTTTTGTGAATTTTAATGAAAATCAATAAAGTTTTGCCATTTTTGGAATTAATTTTAAATCAGACGTCACTTTCGGACGTGACTGAACAAGCATAATAATGAAATGCTAGAAAAAGGCTTTTAGATACTAATCATGCTTCGCTTTAATAGCTCTTTTAGATTATTTAAACAAGTCTAATCCCAGCCTTTGGTCATACGCTAATTTTTTGAAATAAAACTGTACCTTTATCGTCAATTCACCACCTTTCAAAGATTAATAGAATACTCTCGATAGAATGTGGAAAAAATGATTTACACAAGCAGGAAAATATCTATTAGATTCATCGTCAGAGGAAGCCTTTGAAAAGAAGGTAATTTCGTTTTAATTTATCGCTAAAAGTAAACTCCTTGACATGTGTCTACTTGCACTTGGAGTATCATGAGTCTTCCTGGCCCAAGTGATGGTACGGAAAACTCTTTAGCATGTGTTACTTGTTTTAAAGCATCATGAGTCTTCCTGGTTCCTACCATTGCAATCTGATTCACTAATGTATTGGAGCGACAAATTGCTAATTATTTACCTTATTTAACAAGATGAATCGGGAGCATGCAAACTCTGATTTTTGTTCCTTTTGGCAAGGGGTGATTGTTGAATGACTACAGATAATTCAAAAGAAAATATCAGTTAATTTCTAATTTTATTACAGTAATGCATTTTTTTCTGAAATAAAACCTTTACAATTATCATAATAACGCCGAATTCAAAGTACTTATGATATGGAAACCCTTTTTACATTTGATGAATCGAGTACATTTTATGGGAAACAATTTCACCTACTCTACATTGCCCAGACTATTGAGGCAACGTCCTCACAACATAGATCTAGAAATAGAAGGAAAATATCAGACAATTATGAATTAGAGAATGATTATGTAAGTTCATGTTATTTGGGATCTATGCTCAAGTTTTCATTTATATCTTTTCACAATTGCTTTATAACTGAAAAAACGTTTAATGGAGTAGAGAAAGATTGAAAGGAAAAAAGCAAACGTTGATATGTGTTACAAAGCATTGGTCATATTACAACAATTATAAGAATATTAAAATATGAGTTAGATGAAAAAATATATTTTAACGTAACTTTGATTATTATAGTGAGATTGAAGACTCGCTTGATTTTACGAAATTTGATGAATCCTTTTCAGCCATGGATTCTGAAAAGATGTGGATGTTAAAAAGTGGAAAGTTGAAGAAATAATTCACGAATCTGCCAAAGAATTAAATAAAGAATCGCATCTACATTCTTTCATCATCAATGATACCAATAAGTATGCCAAATCATTATTTTCAGAGGAAGAATAGAAGGAAATTTTCTGTACAGATGTTAAAAAAAAGCCAAAAATTGAACATGCCTTGATCGAATTAATGAAAAAATATACACTTAACAGTGTCGATGATTTGCGCGAAGCTATTCCTCAACCATTTATACCTGAAGGATTAAGTTTGACAGAAATTAACACTACGATCTTAATTTTATAAACTATGCATATCGGGGAACATCAAAATTGGAAGGTTGGTATCAACATAACGTATGGAGCCATTTAATTGATCCAGCCTTTCATGATATAGAATTTGTTTGATGATGATGATGACGACATTGTGGATAAGCCGGTTCAGTCCAAACGCTTCACACCTCCTCCATTTACCTTGCCTAAAATTTTTTTCACATCACAAAAATCAAGGACGGAAAATAAACTTATAAGAAAAAATCTTTTTTTTAATATACGATGAAATTTTATTTTATACATGTGTAATCAAATGTATTGTATAATCAAGAATATCAATGCTGCAACATGAAATAATTAAGCATTTAATAGTCTGCTACATTGCGAACTAATATTTTAACTTGTGTGATATATAAATCAATATGCTAAAACTTTAATAACTTATAACTCTCAACGCGAACATTACTGTACCCGAACATACGCGTTCAAAGACGGAATAAATAATACTCGGACAGGGGTTTCTAAAACATAATTATGGCTGATCATCTTGTGATTTATGGTATCCCGGCAGTGTGTGTCATGGAACTGCTAGGAATCTGAATTACATTACAATTATGAAACTTGAACAAAAATAAATTTTGAAGAGATCATTGATTTATATGCTGATTATAAGTCTATTATAGATAAAATATCACCAAGTCTAGTCAAAAGAGCTTTTGATTAACTACTTAAAATAAAGCGCAATCCTGTTTTACTAGTAGAAATTACAGAAAAAAGTGATCAGATTGAGCTTTATGAACAAGTAAAAAATCGAAAGGCTTTTGTTTATAGTATGGATACTGGAATATAGACAGAAGATAGTACAGAGATCACGGATACCCGAACGATTAAAAAACTATTTGAATTTACTTATTATATTAACTTTTTTTTTAGAATAAGCAAAAAATTTATTTGTTCTGAATATTTCTTATATTTTATTAAAAAACTAATACAGTTGACTCTCTCTATAATCACACCCCTCGGGACTATGAAATGGTGTGATTATATGAAGGTGTATTATACTAAGTGATTTATTATTATAATTACTTATATGTAAAAATATTATTGATATGATTTTATATAAAATTTTGTATTAATTAATTTTATAATAAATTATGTAATATTTTAAAATTTTGTTAAAATTTAGTATAAATTTAGTTATCTATTAGTATGAATTAAACATAAAACCAAAATTAATCAATATCACGAAATAGTCGAAATCGACGTCATTATATTACATAATTATTATATAAAAAATCTAAATAAAGAGTATAAAGGGTACAATCTCAGTCAATACCGCTAGTTTCTCATGAAAAACTACCATTTGAATCCCCAAAACTAGACGAATCCAATAAGCCAATAAACATCAAATTATGATCAGCCGATCACGAGATATTCGTGATTAAATGTTAAACTCAGGTTCCTTTAAGTAGAATTTATTGAATTATAATTTTGGGCTAATAATTCAATTGCGATTATTTCGTGATAGGATGATCTGAAATCGATGTTTATTGTCTCATTGGATTCGTTTAGTTTCGAAGATTCAAATGGTAATTGTTTCATAAGAAATGGAGCAGTATAGACAGAAATCATACTCTTTTTATTTTTAGATATTTTAGATACTATTTGTATAATAAAATTAATATAGATATGATTTACTGTGATTATATAAAGGGATATAATTTGATATGATTATATAGAAGGCAACTTTCTTACATTCATTATAAAATGGGACTAAATATTGATGTGATTATATTTTTATGTATTATTGTAATTATAAAAGAGGTATTTTCTTATTTAAAATATTTGGGCAGAATTATAATGTGACTAAAGAATGGGTGTGATTATATAGGAAGTGACTATATAGAGAGTCAACTATACTTTGTTAAACCACCTTCGGCTGCTATTCATATTTAGATTTGACAGGACATACTTTCAATCAAATTTTGAATATACTCAAGTAGAATTGAATGCCAAACATATTTTACTTTACGCTTCAAATCTTCCACATTTTTAGATTGATTAAGCAAGTTATACACTTTCTTATCAACTTTATTCTAAAGCTTTCAATAGGATTTAAATCAGAGTTTTGTGTAGGCTAGGATAGCATGAAAATTTTAAAGGCGTTACAAATATCAGTAACAATCTTTGCTTGATGAGGTGAGGTATTATCCTCTTGAAAAATTTTTTGTTTGCAAGAAACTAATTTGTAAATAAAAGGAATAGCATACTTCTGTAAAACTTTTGCATATCTTTGTCCTATTATAGATTTGTAAAGAGAAACAAGAGGTTCCAGCCCATACCATGAAAAGCATTTTCAAAACATTTGACTAGGATTATGCTTTACTGTAGCAGTTAAACAAGAAGGGTCAAATTCTTCTTCTGGTGTACACCACACATGTAAGCTACAATCTTATGAAAATTAGCTAAATGTAGATTCATCAGACCATATGATTTTCTTCCATTTTGTAATTGTCCAATCTTCTTTTTCTAATGCTTAAACCAATCTTTTTACTTTATTATTTTCAGAAATTAATGGTTTAGAGCAGGCAACATATGAAAGTAAGTCAACTTTTTTAAGAGTCTAACAAATTGTAACAGTTGAAACTTTCTTTTTTTTAGTCTATAATTCTTGAATTTTTTGAGTGGTAAGACGATGATGCTTTGAATTTTGTGTAACAATCTTTTATATGAGGATTGTACATTTGAATTAAAAAGTGGCTTCAGGCCACAACATTTTTTCAGTATTGCAGATTCAATTTCTTTAAAATGTTTTATTGTATCATATACAGTTGTTTTACTACGCATGTCTAAAATGTGTATCAGGTTTAAAGATGATACAGCAATTGATTTCAAATTTACAAAATGTTGCAATATAAGCTAAAATTAGTTGCAACATATGTTGCAACATTATAAGTTACAACATATATAGGTTAAAACTAATTGCAACGTAAGTTGCAACATTAAAAGTTGCAACATATTAATTACAGTTTCCATCTTTAATCAGGTTAGTGGTATAGCAGTTATTTGTCACAAATGTCACACCTCTTATAGTTTTACTTTTTATAAGTATTTTAGTGACTTAGTTTTTTAGAGTTAGGAAAAACCTATTTATAACATATTTTTATATATCACATGTGTGATGTTACTATATAAATATGCTATCAACCTGATATACATTTCAGATGTGCTTTTATCACATTGAATAATATCAGCAATTTTTTGATATGAATCATCTCATCTGTGACCATAAAGAATTGCCCATATTATACAGCATTCAATTCTTTTGTTTTAATTATTTTTGTTCAAAAAAAGTATTATTATTATTATGATCAATATCCATTTATATTCTAAATAAATGCTTAATGTAAACAAAGCGAATAAACGAAAAATACTTATCATTCAGATACCTGTGATCACTCTCTGTAGTTTCTCAGATAAAGCAATACAAACTGATTCTTTGAATAGACAGAAGGTATTGATTTCTTAAAGCAAATTAAAAAGGCTAATACATTATTAACTGATGCAATAAGTATTTTATCTAATATCAAGGAGGTGCATGTGATCATAAAGCAAAAATAAATAATCAGGTTAAGTATAAACTTATTGTCCTGCAAAGCAAATGCTTAAATATAAAAAAGAAACCTTTGGATATTTTATGTAAAATATGACTAGAGAATATGAGAAATAAATTAAGGAAAATGACCAAGTGCGCTATGAAATTAATAAAATAAAGACGCAGGTGTAAGAAATAGAAAAAGCCCTCTTTTAATTAGCTGATCATTCTATGATCCATCTCGATAGTGAAGTATTATCTCAAAGTTTATAAGTAATTTTTTAACAATATGACCGGTAATATTTAAGGGAAAGTGAAACAAAAATTTTTAGTGGAGAAAAATTTCTTTTCTAGAATACATGGGAGCTTTGCAATAGAAAAGGAGGAAACTCTAAAAAAATTAAATTTTTACTTTCTAAGCTAATTATGATTTTTT